ATGTATGGGAGGGAGACGCGTGTTCTCTGTAAGGAGGGTTCTTCCCTACGTTGGTTGGCCCGAAGACGGGTTGTTACGCTATGCCGTCTGATGAATCTTAATAGGTAACCATTATAATGGCATATGCGAAAGAGGTGTCTCCTCTCTTCATTCCTATACTCATCCGTACTGCAGTGGGAGTCAACGCGCTTAAATAACGTTTTAATGCAGCTGATTTTATGGGAAACTGGATGATTACTCTGATAATGGAGGATCCTGTCCATGTGAGTTGGTTTACGGAACACTTTAGTATGCAAGGATCCATCCCATTGGCGATGGATAGATACATCCAAGAAGGCAAGGGTGTTATGTTTTTCCTCCTCCACAGTAAATTGTATATCAGAGTAGATGGAATTCAATATTCCCATAAATGCAGCTACATGTTGTCTTTTGACAACCGCGAACGTGTCATCCACGTACCTCACCCAAAACTTGGGTTGGTATAAAGCCATAGCCTTATGTTCAAGTTGCTGGAGGACCACCTCAGCCACAATACTAGAGATGGGGGAGCCCATCGGAGTTCCCTTGATCTGTTCATAGATGGAGTCCTGAAATGTAAAATGGGTCTGGAGGCATATTTCTATAAGTTTCACGAGGTCCTCTGTCTGCAGGGAGTCCTGATGGTGCCCTCCTCCCATGCACGTCAACCGTTCTCTCAGGACTGAGATGGCTAAGTCCTGGGGAATGGAGGTGAAGAGGGAGGTGACGTCGAACGACACCATTGTCTCGTCATCCTCCACTCTAAGAGTCTTGATTCTAGTTAGAAACTCCTCCTTGACAGCTATTCAAAACAAATATAACCCCCCCAAACACATCTTAGATCTGACCAACCACTGCCTATCCAACACATACTTCATCTATAATGGACAAAAATACAAACAAACAGAAGGAGCACCCATGGGATCACCCCTCTCACCTGTCATTGCCAACCTCTACATGGAACACTTTGAAACCCAAGCTCTAGAAAAATCGGATCACAAACCCAAACTCTGGCTCAGATATGTAGACGACACCTTCATAATCTGGCCACATGGGAAAGAAAAACTGGACAACTTCCTCACACACCTCAACAGCCTACACCCCAAAATACAGTTCACCATGGAAACAGAAGCTAACAACCATCTTCCCTTCCTGGATGTCTTAGTCTACAAGAAATCCAATGACTCTCTAGGACACACCATCTACCAGAAGAAAACACACACAAACCGCTATCTGCACGCTCTCTCACACCACCACCCAGCACAGATCAACTCTGTAGCCAAGACATTCATCTCCAGAACAAAACGCTTAGCTGACGAACAACACCTAAAACCCGAACTACACACTCTCACCAATGTACTAACATCCAATGGATTCCATAGAAATAAGATTACAAATCTAATCCAAAAAGAAACCCCCACTAAAATCCAAGACAAAGAACAAGAAAACGGCAAAGCCCTCCTCCCATACATAAAAGGCACCACAGACAGAATCAGTAAGATCCTCCATAAACACAACATCAAAACAGCATTCTGCACAAACAGAAAAATATCCACCATCCTTAGAAACCCCAAAGATAAAATTGAATTAGAAAATCAAGGAGTATACGAAATCCCATGCACCACTTGTCCCACCACATACATCGGACAAACCAACAGAAGAATAAGTGCACGCATTGAAGAACATAAGAACTCAGTCAAAAAAGAGGAACCAACATCTTCCCTGGTCCAACACCTTAAAGCCACAGGACATGAAATTGACTTTAAAAATACCAGAACCATTGCCAAAAGTGAACATTTTAATAACAGAATAATCAGAGAAGCCATCGAGATAGAAAAACGCCCACACAGCATGAACAAGCGAGATGATACCTCCCGCCTACCAGCCATTTGGAAACCCGCCCTTATTGACAAACGACTCCCTAACACAAAAAATGATACCAGACCCACACTCACAAAAACCACACAGGATGTCACCACCACACATCCACGCAAAAAACAAACCCAAAGCCACACCGATGATGAGGCACGACCACAAACCAGAAGCCAGACCACAGCTGCATCATTAGCCACTTTAAACCCCTCCAATCCATACATGAAGCAAACTGACACCCTCCATGAAGAGGAGGCACGACCACGAACGCGAAGCCAAAAAATAGCAAGGCAGCCCAAAATCTTAAACCCCTCTGCAACTCAGACTAACCTGAGCACAACCAAACAGAACACTCCCCCAGCCAATCAGAGCACAGCCAAGCCCCTAACCATTCAGAACACACCTCCACCCAATCAGAACACAGCCAAGCTCCCACCCAATCAGTTCATACCCCCACTGGCAGTTAAAAGGAAGAAACAGCTAAGACCACACATTGCTGCTCAAAGCACGAAGCTGAAAACACCAGCCTGAAGATGACGAATGGGACTTCGTCGAAACGTCGCCAAGACACTTCCAATTTTACGCGGGAGAAAACCCGAACAACCAAAGACCTACGTGTGTGTGTGTGTGTGTGTGTGTGTGTGTGTGTATATATATATATCTGATATAATAACTGTACTAGCTTAAATATGAGATAATAGACACTAAGAAAAAGAGAGGAATGTTGAAACAAGAGAAATTTTGTTTACTAAATTTAAGACATTAGGAAATTAATAGAAAATAAGAATGTTATACTGTATTATTAGTTAGATGATATAAGATGGTGAGAAATAGAATATATTCAAATAGATAAGACATGTATCCTGAATATTAGAGTTTGTGAAGAATTGAGATAAAGGGAACTTTGGTCACTTAAAACTTGGAAATTATAAATATTAAATGTTAAATTTAAACATTAATGAGAAACTAAAAATTGGGGAAAACTAATTAGGACATTGATTGTCTATAAAGTCTGAATGTTAAAATAACCGGGACATGTATAAGCTAAAAAATATTGATAAATGGAAGAATATTATTTTTATTTAATTGATATAATAAGAATTGTATTAGTTTAAATATGAGACCATAAATACTAAGGGAAAAGAGAGGAAATATTTAATATGGTAGTTTGAGACTTGCACTAAAGATGTTTGTATGTCATTGAATTTTTGATTAACTCAGCCTCCACATTGCTTTTTAAATACTTAAATGTAAAATTAGAAAATCAATAAAACATTAAAACAAAAACATCCCAATGGAACTGCTTCAAAGGTTCTTGGGTGCGTCTAGTGGTGTGAGCATTATCGTGAACCAACACCACACCAGAAGTCAGCATGTCCCGACGCTTGTTACGTATGGCTTGTCTGAGTTTTCGTAATGTTTCACAGTAGACTTCTGAATTGATGGTTGAACCATGCTCCATTACTTCACTAGCAGTACTCCTTTGGCATCTTCACATTTGGCAGGCTTTTCTATGGCACTTCTGGTGTGTTGGTTCACAATAATGCTCGCCCACACACCGCTAGACACACCCCAGAACTTTAGAAGCAGTTCTGTTGTGAGGTTTTTGATCACCCCACCCCTATAGCACCAAGCAACTACTACTAAGGAATTTCAAACCTTGTAAGACATTATGACAAGTCCCTCAATTTGAATGGCGATTATGTCGAAACGTAATGTAATGTTGTAGTTTTCTAATGTGTATAACAAAAGGTCTGTACCTGCGAGTGTCTGTCATTGATAACCAAATGGAGGTTTATTTCCAAATTGCCCTTGTATCTTTTGACAATCCCAGTTTCCTTCTTCCACGTGTTCTCTCTTTAATCTTCACTCAGATGCTTTCCCCTCAATTTCCTTTCTTTAGGCTTGGCCACAAAAGCTTTAATTGCTCAAGAGTGAGACAGGGAAAGATCTGCTAGGCAAATAGCTAGGAAAGTGTCTTTCTTTCCTTCATCTTCCTTGGACTTCAAACTGAACACAAATCCAGTTCTATCCAATGCGTACCTCCATTCCGTTTGTTGCAAGTACGAGTCAGTGAAGGTTTGTTCCTATCTACTGTATACCATTTGCAGCCATTATGGATATTCCTACCTGTGTACTCAGGCACACTAAGGAGTCTTCGACTCTTTCAGTTAATGCAGGAAAGGGAAGTGCCTGATGGGATTTGGTCGTTCACTACAGCCAGTTGCTTTGTTGAGGAGCTGTAAGATGGTTCCAGCGCTGTAGAATTTATGGTGTGTATTCAGCTTCTCATTCATTGGGCTTTTTCCAAACAACAAACGATCCTCTCCTCTGTATAGAATATTGCTTCCTCTCTTGGCTGCTTTGTTGGTCCTCTTATGTGAGCTGAAGTATGGCTGCTCACTGCTCTAATCTTATAATTTTCTTCAAGCATTGCTACATACTCTAAATTGCTGTAGCGTAAGCCAAATTGTTTTAGGGCAGGAATACCCAAACAACAACAATAACAACAACAACAACAACAACCCTGCAAGCCCTTCAGGTCATACTCTGTTTTCTTAAATCATGATCACAGAATGGTTCTGTTCTGTTCTCAGGGTCTCCGGTTAAGTACCAACTCTCATTTTTGAGGAAAATATTGTATGGACTCAGCCACCAAGCCATTGGTGGGTGAGTCCATAACAACATTCTCCATTTGTTGGGAATGGTGTAGGCCGGGGTCTCCTGCTTGAGCAGGGGGCTGAATTGGAGGCCTCCAAAATCCCTCCCAATTCTGTTATTTCGTTAAGCTCCATTGGCAAATTCAGCCCTGTTTTCCCTGTTCACTCTCTTAGTGAGCCACGAGCTAGTAGTAGGTGCAACAGTGGCAATGTGTCCCCCAGTATCATGGAGTGAGGGAGTCGTGCCCACCCCTGGAGAATAGTTTTTGTCACTTGAAAACATACTGCAAAGAAAGGTATAGCTCAGGGGTAGGCAGCCTTGGCTCTTTTATGACTCGTGGACTACAACTCCTAGAATTCCTGAGCCAGCATGCCTGGTTCAGGAATTCTGGGAGTTGAAGTCCACAAATCATAAAAGAGCCAAGGCTGCCTACCCCTGGTATAGATGCATACTCTGCTATTTAAGGGTAGCCTATCTCCCAGTACTTTAACATTAGTTCCATGAAATATTGGAATGTTGCTGATTAAGGAATTTATTTTGCTATTGTCTACAGCTAAGCAGGTCATAACTCACTTGTAGAGCACATATTTTGCATGCTGAAGGCATACAGTTCAGTCCTTGAAATTTCAGGTACAAGATGAGGAGAAGGGTGTGGGGTTTCATCTGAAATTGATTATCAACTTCCCTTATCTGGTGTTCTTCATATAAGTTTGGAGATTTGTTTCCAAAATTTCTATCCAAAATGGCAATTATAATCTTGACACACAGCTATTATAATCTACAAATGTCTGGCATCCAAGTTATTGTAATGTTCTTGTAAAACATTGTAAACCTGTACTGTAATAACATGTTTTGGCAATGTCTCTAGGCTTGGAAAGGGAATTGTTTGTGCTAATAGCCTGAGTTTGGAGTTACTGTACAGTACATACAAATGACTTAAGTTTCTTGGAGCGATTATGTAATTTTTGTTTCCGTCTACCTTATTGAAAACGTAGAGTGTTTAGCTTTGTGGATCAAGTGTCCTTCAAAATACAAGGACATCAGAAAAACAACAGTCCCAGAAGGTTGTATGAACATAGAACAATTGAGCCAACTCTGAGGGATGATATGAATTTATCAGAAAGTGTTTTAGGTAATTCTGAGAGCCATTATTTAAAGGTTTCCAGAAAACTACACTACTGTTTGGGAGAAATACAAAATGAAGACCTCTGTTGAAGGATTGAACTGTCATTATTAGAACAAGAATTGACAGATGATTTCATCTGATCACACTTAAATTATTAAGAGAGTAATGGAAAATTAGGATTACAATTAGAGCAGGGGTGTCAAACCGCCGGCCCGCGGGCCAGACGCATCATCTGGAAGCCACGTCCACCCCTTTGCCAGCAATGGCAAAACCATTCCGACATGTTGCACGACGTCACGTGACGTCGCGAGTTTGACATGTCTGAATTAGAGCATGTTACGGTCCCCTGTATTTGATGGTTCAGACATTTGTGTTTACATCCCCATGATAAATCTGGTTTTAGGATTAGAAAGTTAACCTTTTTAAAATGAAAGAATTTAAAAGTGGACTAAACATTTACACCATTTATAGCGCTTTAAGAGAAAGACAAGAACTGGTTTGCTGTACTATTGAAGACATCAGGCTAGAAACCAGGAGACTGTGAGTTCTAGTCCCAGTTTAGGCCAGTCACTTTCTCCCAGCCCTAGGAAGAAGGCAATGGCAAACCACTTCTGAAAAACCTTGAAAAGAAAACTGTAGGGATGTGTCCAGGCAGTCTCCAAGAATTGGAAATGGGGGGGAAAAAGAAAACTACTAATCACAAAAGTCTCTCAATAAAGAAATAACTGTTGTTCATTGTTTGTAATTTAAAAATATTACAAGAATATATATGTATGCTAGCGGTAAGAGATTTAGTTCATTTGTACTTTCAAGCAACCGAGTAGTTAGCTTATAAGAACAAGCCAGAATGAAACATGGATTTGTTTGCTTTCTCCTTTATCTTGGTTATAAATAATCGTTCAGGAGTTTTCATTTGATCTTAGATTTACTTCAGTCAGTCATGTCCAATTCCAACATGTTGTAATTATTCTTAATTATGATTATTGGAAGGAAACCCACTCCTAACTATATCTTAATTTGTTCATGTTATTTAAGGGACCCTTCATGCAGTTGAGCATCTTTGTTTGAAATTACATTAAATAAATGAAACACATATTTATATACAATCCGTATTTATATAGTAATGTATTCTAAAAGCCTGCAATTTTTGGCAGGCAAAATGATAGGGGGAAAATTCCATAGCTGCCATGGGGGAGGAGAGAAAAGGGCCCTCCCTTTCATGACAACCTTCTGAATATATTGGACACACCCTGCTAGGGAATTCATAAATGAAGTTGATGCTTAAAGACAAATTCTGTGGAAGCAGGCATGCGGTTAAGTATTTTTGTCTTTGGATGTGTAGGTAAACACCATAGACTTCCGGTTTGCTGATGCGGCCGCCACGGATGCTGAAAGGTGAGCCCCGTCTTCCATGTCCGATTTTGCACTGCTGGGGGACCCTGGAAAGGGTAGAAAGTCACCCTGTAAGGGTGACAAGCAAGGAGGGGATCCCTGCTAGATCACAGGATGGTGGTAGCCCTCCTGCGTGATCCGGGGCAGCCCTCCAAACCGGCAGACGACAGACCGGCCATAGAAATATGGCCCGTCACGGACTGCCGGTTCCTGTTTGCGGCGTCACTAGTCACACGGGGAGACTTCTCTCCTCGTCGACTAGGTTTCCCTTCGTCGGTGGACCCTTATATGGGTCCAAAGTCACCCTGGAGAGTGCGACTTCTGTCGAGGAGGCTGTGGTCTGGCTGCGGAGGAGCGGTAGCTCCTCCAGCTATCCGGATGAATCTCTGAGGGCCGACGGAGAAGATCGGCCATGAAAATGGCCGATCGCCCTGCCGCTTCAGATCGTAAGTCAGAAAACATCTAAGCTTTGAGTGCCCCCGTGGTGAATCCGGGTGAGAATTTTTTCTTATTTTTCTCTCTATTCCAGTTTTTTCTTTGTGTGTGTGCCTGTAAAGAGCTTTTGAAATTATTTACCTGGCTTGGAAAGGCGGCTTCTACTTTTTTGGGGGGGGGGGAAGAAAGGCATTTTACAAATATTGAAAGGCTATAAACTGGACACGAAAAAGGGGAAAAAAAGAAGGAAAAGGTTTCCTCTCTCCTTTATTTTTAAGAACGTTATTATTTCTACTTTTATATATATATATACATATTATACCTTAAAAGATAGAAAAAAAGAATTGATTTTTGGAAAAGACTTTCCTAACTCACTGAGGAAATCTAGTGGCAAAAATTTAATATTGTAACTTTGCTTACTTTTTTTTTATGAACTTCAAACATTAAAGATAAGCTGTACACCTGTGATGCTATGGGGGGTGGATGTTTTTACATTAAACAAAGCCTCTACAAAAAAGAAAAAGAGATTTCCTTTTAAGAGTATTAAAATGGAGAAACCTCAGATACAACTGAACTGTGCACTTATATTGGAAAATATTTATGAGGCCACTGCAGAAATTTGTGCTACATTTAAAAACTGTACTTTAGAATTAAGATCCAGAGACTCTACTACATTTGCTCAAACTGATGTCCAGGTTACAACTGATCATGTCATAAATCAAAATGTACCAGAAGAGGAATTTACAGAGATAGAAGTGGAATTTACTTCATCTGACAATCCCCTCTTTAGCAACTTAGAGAACCAAAAGAAGCAAAGACTAAGACTTCAAAATACAAAGCAACTATATTGCAAAGAGAACAGAAAAAGACGTTTACTGCAGAGGAAGAGATCTATACTCTCTCAAAGACTACTACAAGCAATAAGAACTGATCTATTGGTTGAAAGAGAAAAAAGATGTTTACTGCAGAGAAAGAGACGTACATTTGCTCAAAGATTATTACAAGCATTGAGAATGGACTTATTGGTTGAAAGGGAAGCATTTTTATGGAAGCCTGTGTGGCATAGAAAGAAACCCAGAATTAGATTGAAAAACAAATTTAAAAATCTTTAATGGAGTAAAAGGCAATGTTGACTTCATGGATTGTTTTAAGGATAATGATCTAGAACGGAAAAATGCAATTATATACATGCGTGTTTAAATTAGTAAAAACTCTTTAATGGATTAAAAGGCAATGTTGGTTCTATGGATTGTTTTAAGGATAATGATTTAGATTTAGAAGTAAGAAATCTACAATAATATTTATGTGTGTTTAATTTAGTTTGATGACTTTTTTGTTTTATGGAAATTTGATATGGAAATATGAAAGTTAAATGTGGAGTGAAAAAAGAAACTTGGCTTTATAGAGACTAAGAATGCATTCCTTGGAATAATAGATTGATTTAGACTGGAATTTTGAAATGCTTAATTAATTAGGAGATTTTTGTGTATAATAATACGTCTTGATATGGTATGATAATTAATTGGATAGAATTTGTTTTCTTTAATGAATGGAAATGAATTAAGTTAAAGACTACTATAAGTAAAAAAATGGACTTATTGGCTGAAAGGTTAAGGATGATGATTTAGATTTAGAAGTAAGAAAACTATAATTATATACATGTGTAAGTTTAATTACTTAAGAGATGTTTGTGTATAATAATATGATTTGATAAGATATGATAATATTGGTTTTTTTAAATTAAACTTGTTATTATTGGAAGAAGAAATAAATAAGATTGGTGATAAAAAAAGGGATGAGAGGGATTAAGAACTTGAATATATTTGCAAGAGGTATTTGAAATAATAATATGTTGATGTAAAACACTATTATGGTAATTGAAATTGATTTAAAGTTTTAATAAACAGGTTTAGTAGTAATAGAAATTTAGGATAGAAATGAAATATATTACATTTACTATGTTACTTGAGGGAAATGGAGAGATGATAGCGAATGTATTAAGTTGAGCTGTTATTGTGTGATTTTATATTGGAATCTTTGTTTACCCAAACACCACGGTGTGTCTTAAACACTTTTTGTTAAAACTATAAAACCAATAAAATATATTTAAAAAGAAAAAAGAAATATGGCCTGTCACTAGGCTGCAGAAAGCCGAAGTCAAACTTACCATCAGGCACCTATAACGCAGCGCGGATGAGACTGGATGAGATCTGAACCTCTCTTCAAGCCTAATTATTTTTTCCACCTGTATAAGCTGCCCAAAGTATTTTCCCTCCTGTGGAGAGAGGGAAGGGAAATTGTATCCCACCCTCTAAAAACAGTGGCGACTGACTATCCAGGGGAGTTTAAAATGCTGAAAGAATAACTTGATTCTAACTGGATTTTTATCTTTCTAAAATTTGAGGACTAAAAGATTTCTTATTCTTATTAAAGATTTGGGTTTTTACTTACAAAAAAGAAGTAAAATTGAAAAAGGATTATAAAAAATTTGGACTTAAAAAAAAAGACAAAAATCTTAAATGATATGGGCGACATCTTGTGGCTAAACCTGATATTACAACTTGTTATTGTCTAAAAGGCTTGAAGCCCAGACTATAGATAAGACTTTTGCAACCTTGGCAGATATCAACTGTGAGAAGCCCAGCTGTGTTCTATTCTCAGTGACAAAATTATTTTCATTCTCTGATTGTAAAGCTTTTAATTTATCACACCAGAAGAAACCTGAGGATCAAGACGACCACACTGAAGGGAAGATAAACATTTCAGGACAACTACGTCGAGATGGGAAAATAGAGAGATGATTTGTTAGCTCTTCCAAAAAAATGGTGACTGGATGGCCTCTTTTATCTCAAACAATATATATAATAACAGAGGGAGAATTATTTGATGACTTAAAAGCACGGATATGGAAGCCGAGTTGGCAAAGAAAGAAAGCTAGAATAAGGCTGAAGAAAATTGGGGTTTTGACTTATTAGTGAGGATTAAAATAGAATATACTCAAATAGACAAGATGTGTACTTTGAATACTAGATTTTGTTATGAACTGAGATAAAGAAAACTTTGGTCATTTAAAACTTGGAAGTATAAATATTCAAAGTTAAATTTGAATATTGATTTGTTTATAAAGGTTGAATGTAAAAGTAATTAAGATATATATATATATATATGTATATGTATATGTATATATATATAAGCTAAAAATCTATTGATAAATGTAATAAACATGTTTTTACTTAGCTGATATAAGAACTGTACTAGCTTAAATATGAGATAGTAGACATTAAGAAAAAAAGAGGAAGTATTTGGTGTTGAAACAAGAGAAATTTTGTTTACTAAATTTAAGACATTTGGAAATTAATAGAAAATAATGTTATACTATATTATTAATTAGAAGTAAAATGGTGAGAAATAGAATATATTCAAATAGATAAGACGTGTATCCTGAATATTAGACTTTGTGATGAATTGTGATAAAGGAAACTTTGGTCACTTAAAACTTGGAAATTATAAATATTAAATGTTAAATTTAAACATTAATGGGAAACTAAAAATTGGGAAAAACTAATTAGGACATTGATTGTCTATAAAGACTTAATGTTAAAACAACCAGGATATGTATAAGCTAAAAATTATTGATAAATGTAAGAAGGTTATTTTTATTTAATTGATATAATAAGAATTGTATTAGTTTATACATGAGACAGTAAATACCAGGGGGAAAAGAGGGGAAATATTTAATGTGGTAGTTTGAGACTTGTAGTAAAGATGTCACTGTCACTGAATTTTTGATTAACTCAACCGCCACGTTGCTTTTTAAATGCTTAAATGTAAAATTAGAAAATCAATAAAACATTTAAAAAAACACCGTAATTTATAACGGAAGCCAGAAATCAGTTAAATAAAAAACCAACATAGAGGAGAAGAGGTCTAATAGTATATGTAAAGTTTGGTTCCAATGAAAAAGTGTATTGAAAAGGTTTACAGTTCTCCTCACCTCCTAAAATCTTCAAAGTAAACGTTTCTTGGGTTGTAAGTTACTTACTTTTTTTTCCTGTTTCCTTTAAGGTGACCTGTGCTGGTTTCCCAGTGGGGTTTGGATCTACTAGAAGCTCCTGCCAGCCTAATGCCATGAATGTTGAAGCGGACAATGTGGAAGAGAAAGCTGTCCATTCCTGGTCAAGGATCTCCTCTGCAGGACAGAAAGCCTTGGAAGAAGCTCTCCGGGTGTTTAACCCCATGTCCAAGGACCTGTCTGACACGGAGACCCAGTTAGTAGCTTTTCTCCAAGGCCTTAAAGAAGAAGGCCACCAACCCACAATCCTACGGAGCAAAGACGTGTATGGTTATAGTTCCTGCACTGCCAATGCACCTGGCCAAACAAAAGGCAATATTCAAGGCATTTCAGAAACAGCTGTTCCTATTTCAAAGTCTGCCAAGGCTCCAGCAAGGAACATAGTAACCATAGAAAAAGTACCTGCCTCCTTGGCAAGTATTACCGTGAACTCTTCAAAAGAATCTGCTAAGCCGATGTCAAAGAGCAGTAACTCCACAAACCTCCTATTGAACTCATTGAAACGGACACGTTCGGGCACATCAAAAGCTTCAGCAATGAGCTTCCCTGCTAATATGTACCCTGGTGTCTATCCAGCCATGAGGCTTTCAGTGGTGCTGGAAGCCTTAGTCCCTCTGAAAGCCACTGCCTCTTGTTTGGAATCAAAATGCAAACAAGGGCACCTCGGGATCTCTCCTTCGGACCTTAAGCATCTCAAAGCATCCACTGCATCTATGCAGTCTTCAGCAGGGAAGGCCGCTAAGATGTCGTCTAATCAGTTGGACCCCAAAGGATATAGGCATTTACCGGTAATAACAAAAGTGCCGGACTCTGCTGCTCTCACGATGAACCTTATAAAAGGACCAAAGGGTGGGGTGCTTCAGGAAAGTTATGCTTGCAAAGCATCTGGAATCCTGAATGGCCGGATTTCTGGGAGCAACTCCCAGAGCTGTAGCACAGGGGCCTCCAGAATTAAGGAACCGCTGGTGGCCAAAACTGAATGGAAAAGTGGGGACAGCCATCATCAGGCAATTGGGGAGAAAAGAAGACGAGCAGACGAAGGGAAAGAGTTGCCGTGTAGAAAGACGCCCGGTTCTGTTCCACCACCTAATAAACCAGAACCGGCTTCGGAAACGCCAAACCTGCTGAAATTCCAGGCCATCAAAGTGGACAACTCTTCAGACGATGAATTGAGGAGGAGAGCACAACAGATCCTTAAAGTTAACCTGTCCCCTGTGATCAGAATTCGGCCATTGCCTCAGTCTCTCAGTATCCCTTGAGTCATTCAGTTGAGTTGGAGCTCCAAGGCCACCATGTGAGGATGATCAAATCAGCGTCAAGTCTCTCGGACCGGGTGAGGGCCTACACGTCTGAACTACTCAGGCGGCTGATCCTCAGGTCCTGGCTGGCATTTGGGGGAAATTCCGCAGAGCTGAGCAACAACTGGATTACAAAATCATGTTTAGAAATACCGGAGGAGATCTTTAAGGCCCCGTTGAGAAGAATAGAGACCACCACTGGCTTTCCTCTGGGACACTTTTTTACACGTACTTTTGTAAACATGGCAGAGTGCACATCTGGGATGTGGTGGCACTTGGGCTGTTCCCGTACTGTGATATTTCTGGTTCCTTTTATCTTTCGATCTGTAAATCTACTTGGCTTTATTTTGATCCTATTTTATATACTTATGAAATATAAATATCTATTGACTCGTACATATGCATTGCCCAAGGGCTGTCAGAATGTGATCCCTCAATTCTTCCTGTTTCAAGAACTGGGTTCAGACGTCTCCCCCCCCCCCCGGCGTAGCTTTGTCTCCCCCCAGTTACTTGTTGAAAAACACAACAAAGGCCTTTGCTTGTCTCCAGCACTGCCTCTCTTTTCTCTAAAAGCTAGTGGCTTGCTGTCATCTAGTCTCTGGTCCTATTTATTCCCATTATTGTCACATCTTAGCTGACCATAGTGAAAAAGTACATGAAAGCTGGAGGAGTATTCCGAGTCCACCGGAAGGGAGAGCTGGAGAAACATCCTTTCTCTGGTACACTTTTTCTCTTTTGGAAGAGAGTTTTTTAAAATCTCCCAACAGAGTATGAGAGAGAGGGAGAAAAATAGTTTCATATCCCAAGCATGGAGGCATGGCTGCTTGGTTAGAGAAGGGAAGGCAGGTCTAATCCCCAGTGCATCCCAGGCAATCTAAGAATGTTGTCCAAGTGGCTAGTACCACATTTGTGCCACAGAGGCAGGAAGTTCCTCTTCGGAATATACTTTTTGAAGACTCAGTGCCTCTTTACGGTGTTTCCCTGGGGGGCAGTGTCCACCAATCAATGTCCTGTATTCTTCTATGTATTGGTCTCCTATGGGGGATCATTAAGGAACCCAGCGAGATTGTTAACATTGTGTCCCTCTGTTATTTTCGTTTGTTTAAATGAATCCCTGGCTGCTGATGAGCCTCAGAACTTGGTAAAATTGGCAAATAATAATTTTCTAGTGCAATTGTTACACTAGACAATGTCTGCAGTCAGACATTTCAGTGAATCTGGCTTGTAGACATTGGGCTTTTGAATGTATCGGCTGCATCTGAACAGGCTGTGTTAATATCTCCTTTCACACAAGCAGGAGGTTTTAGGGCTAGACGTAGAGATGGTTGGGTGTGGTTTTTTGTTTTTGTTTTTCTTTTTTTTGTCTAGTGTTGCAAATGTGGAGCTAAACTATAATAGAAATTTCGGGCCTAAAACCATTGGAGGTTCATACGTTCTTTCAGTATTTCAGAAGTGTAATTTTATATTTGCTTTGTGCCACATCTACTCTTATTTTACCACTGTGGTTTTTTTTCCCCTACTCAGAACAACGGCAGTAAGAGTTAAGTGAAAGTATTGAGATCAGCGTGGGAGATTCCGTCTTCCTTTGAAGTTGTGATATTCAGATTGTCAAAACCACAACAATTAAAACCGATTCAGGTTTTTTTTCATGTAGCCCTGCTATTAGGAGGCATAGCGGTTACTTTCTCTGCTGCTTCTCGGTGCAGTTTTAAGTTTGTCCTGTTGACTGATTTTGAAATAAGTTGTAAAATACTGATTGGGCTTTACTATTTAGGCCAGCCAAAACCAATAACCCCTGTTCCAACTTACGCAAAATAAGGTGAATGGATTTGAGGAGTAGAAATCAGACTCGGGCTATTTGCGAACGTCAGATGGTGATGGTGATTGGTAATATTTTTAAGCATTACCTCCCATAGACAGTATTGAAAATTTCTCCCTCAAGTGCTAATTTTCTGTACGCATGCGGAAATTTTGTTGTAGATGTATATTCAGAAATTCCACCGTAAATATGTAGAAAACCAGCCCTCTGGTGATTTAACGAGTACATTTCTAACCCCCAAAGACAATATTTGTTCTGTGCCACTTTGGATTAGACTGCCTTCATTATGTGGGAATTCACGAAAGGAAGATCTTTGCTTGCCAGACCTCCCCATAAGTAGTTTGTTTTGGGGGAACAAACCTCAAATGAGATCAACCCATCACTGGGGTTCTGGAGGCTCCCTTGAACAATGATAGATAGGCTGTGCTTCATGGAGGATATCTGGTTAATTTGTTAGTTTCAAGGCTTCATAAGATGGGGGAGGAGCCTCCTCTGAGCCCTCCATAGATGTTTTGATGACAGTTCTACCTGCAACACGACTTTGAAAAATCTGCTCTCTGCTGAGCCACTGTTGAGACAAATCTTTGCTTACATTGCAGAGAACCTTAATTAGCTACCTGGCATTCTTCCTAGGATCCTGAACTTTTACTCTCCCTATTTGTGCTAAGGAAAAAGGCAAGGAGAAACCTCAGTCTGTCCTGCTTGGGTCTCTACAACCCTGACTGGATTCCAGGTGTTGTGTCCCAGATTTTTCTAGAATTAATTCTTTTCTGAATTATAATAGCCCTGGCTTTCTGTGAACCTTTCTGTTTGGGATATTTGTTATCCAAATATAATAGCTACAGCTCCCCCCCCACACACACACCATTTTGTTTAGATCTTTCCATGCTACCCTTTAAACTTCCTTTGTGTTATCACATGCACATACAAAATATCTGAAAACATAAAGATACATTGGCATAACATCAGCGTGGAAAGAAGGAGACTGTTCTTTTTTTCTATGTAGTCTCTGCATTTGCAGAAGGATGCCTTCCAAACCACTGGAAGAAATAAGGAATAGAGAGCATTAGGGGGGAAAAAAACATTTGGGCTTTTGAGGTGAAAGTATGCGGCGAAAGCATTTTAGAGGAATGCTCCACCCTCAAGAAAAAAGGTGATATAGCAATGCAGGTAATACCTTTCATAGATCAATTAAGACCACTGTTGGTTTTCTCTTCGCTTTTATGTTGCCAGCTGGAGAATCTGCACTGGGGGGATTGCTCTGTCTACAACAGGGGTATCAAATCATATTGTGACATATCGGGACTTTTTTTTGCCTTTGTGAGGCTGAGGTGGGTGTGGCCTGCGCAGGCCGCATCCAGCCCGCGGGCCGCATGTTTGACATGCCTGGTCTATACTATCTCTGAAAGTCGAGTTCTAATAGCCTGGCATTCATGTGTTGGTGTGAGACTTGAAGTGTTGATCAAACTGCATGAACGATAGATATTGGGGGGCTTTTGAAATCACAGGAGATTAGAAGTTGTTCTGGCTTCCTGTAGAGAAGATCTTTTTTGCCAGATGGAGATTGCTAATTAACCCCTATGTGGAAGAGATTGGATCTACACAACAAATTGCTGCTCAGTCACTGATTCAAGGTTGAGGCCTCTAGACCATATTCACGGTAGGCTTTGTTGTTTGGTTGTTAGCATCGGAGGGTTGTAGTAATTAGCAATCCCAGAAGATCATTGAGCTGGCTTTTGTCAGTCCAATGACTTGGTTAGAAGAGGCTATTCTACTTCACTGGAGGCAGTGTACTTCATGAGAGTGTTTTCTTTGTTCCCAGCAATTGGTTTAATAGGGAATGAAACTGTGCAATTACTCACTTGATTCCTAGACTTGTCTCTTTCTGGGCGAAGTAATATAAGCTTTGACTGATGAAGGGAAGGTAATTTCGATAACAATGTTCTCCATTTTTATTTCTCAATATTGATCTGCAAAGATAATAGCACCAGGCCCAAACCCACCCCCCCCAACAACCTGGATTTAGAGAACCAGAGTGCAAGGGTGACTCTGAAAAAGTATTCTTTGAACTCATTGTGGTTAGGCATCCTGATCCCAGAAGATGCTGGCATCACAGCAGTTAAACCTATAAAGAAACATCTAAAGCTAAAACCTAGACAGTTTTTGTGCCTTTACAATTTTCTTATCTTTTTATGCAGCCATTTCCCAGTTGACGGTTAAACAGTCTGTACAATTAGCAGAAATCGGTTTTCAAAGTGGCTTGTGCACTGTCTTGAATTGGAAGAATGGCTTAGAAGATCTTAGGGGTCCTTCAGCTGAAATGGAGGCGAAAGTTGTGACACCTTAGTCGCCGGCAGCTTTGGCAGCAACTTAAGAATAAGGCAGAGGTTGTGTCTTGCCTTGTCTTCAGATGCTTTAACATTGTTTTCCATTTGCTATAAGAATTTTATAAGAGAGAAAGTGTTTTGTGTTAAACGCTGATGCACAGTGCCAATTGTTTAAAGACCAGCTTCATGCAGTAAGAAAAGTGACGTTTCAGATGGGTACGCAGCCTCTGCCGATACCTTTCCGGAGATATTTGGAAGGATCACCCTGAAGCACTCAGCTTGCCTGCCTGATTATTGCTTCATTTATCCTTACTTCCTGTCATTTGTTCTTCAAACAGGTGTTTTTCTGCCTTGTGTCCTTTTTATTGCAGGTTCAGCAGCCATTCCTTCGCAGCCCACCTGGATTCAGTCTCCAGCATTCTAAAAAAAGATCTTAGGATGGGGGGAAAAAAAGAAAGAAATGTTTCGTTTGAAACTACAGAGACCCACTCCTGCAACACACAGTCCTGATGTAGAATAGATCAGCAGTGGAACTGGTTATAAAGCTACTTCATCTGTTTGTAAACATTTAACCAGGAAGGATACCTGTGACTACAAATGGGCCATCTGACATGGCTACTTGAATTCCATTTTTGGGTCCTAATCAGTAGTTAATACAGATCATATAGGACTTCCTTTCTGCTAATCTGTACCAAACGAATAAAAAAGGAATTCCTTGGGAAAGCTTTTTGAGTCATTGGACGGACTGAATATTTGCGTACTGCACAGGTAGTCCTCGATTTAACGGCCACAATTGAGCCCAAAATTTCCTTTGCTAAGGGAGACAATGGTTAAGCGAGTTTTGCTCCATGTTATGACTTGTCTTGCCCCAGTTAAACAATCACTGCAGTTGTTAAGTTGTAATATGCTTGTTAAGTGAATCTGGCTTTCCCCCATTGATTTTGCTTGTCCGAAGGTCACAAAAGGTGAGCACGTGATCCCCCCCCTCACGGCAATCATAAATAAATGTCAGTTGCCAAGCATCCAAATTATGATGCTGCAATGGTTATATGTGTGAAAAACTCGTGTTTTTTTTTCAGTGCCGTTTGAACTAAACGAATGGTTGTAAATCAAGGACTACCTGTATTTCTTAATTGAAATACTCGCCAATTTAGAGATGAGAATTAGATTTAAAGCAAGTGCCTTGCGATAGGCAATTGTACCTGGAGATGAGACTTCAGGCTGGGCAACTTAAGTTTGTGCCCCTTCGGCTCTTCTCTATTTAATGTGACTTATAAATCCATAACCGGGAAACATCTCAGCAGCTTCAAAGTTGATAATGTTCCTTTAATAAGGAATTACACATTTTGTTGCCTCCCGGTTGTCCATTAACAGATGCATTGACATCCTTGGTTTATGCTCTGTTTGCTGGTTGGTAACACTGTGTGTAGCCTCTGGATATGATAAATGTGAAGAAGTGCTGCTTCTGTGAAAAAAAAAAAGGGGGGGGGGCTATAGGAAGATATGGAATAGGAGAAAAACAGTCACAAGATAGATGGTTACCCTGGACAGCCTGCTGATGTTTCAGACTATAACTGTTGCTATCTCGAGCCAGCATGGGAAAGTGAAGATAACAAGAGTTGAAGCCCAACACATCTGAGGAGTAGCAGAGGCTGAACTACAGATAAATGTGATTGCCTAATCCTTCTCCCTTAATTAGCTTGTTGTGGCACTTTTTGGGGAGAATGTAAATTTAAGAGTTTTCTCCTTTATTGAGAAGAGCCGGGATTTTCCGTAAATGGCAGGAGCTGGGCCCTTCAATTGAACCGCAGACTTAACAAGACATGAGAATGACTTCCAAGCCGAGCTTCTTTTGGCTTTGTTTGAAATACATTTCCCCTGTCTCTATCTTGATTCCAGAACCAAGGTCTGTTCAGGTGCTTCTCCTGGGGGGGGGGCATGTCTAGTTGGTACATATGACAATGCAGTTTAGTAAAATGGGGAACAACCCAAAGACATGGGTTATTCACCTCTGTCGTGCAGGCTAGCTTGAAAAGAATTGACAGAATTTTTGTGCCCTGCAGATTAAAAAAAACAAAAGTACTAAAATCAGTGCTCTTAGTCAGAACGACATGGTTGTGTCCTCCACAGAGTCCCCTGGAGTTGCCACTCTTGCGTTGTCCCCTCTCTTGTTTTTGTTCCTATCACTGTGGACAGGGTATTGCTGCTACATCAGTGCCTGGAAGGGAAGAGGTCTCTGACCATATTGCTAGACAAGCAGTTGTTAACCACAAGGCACTTGAGAATCACAGTATCCTGGCTTTCCTTTCTACCAAACTCCATATGCTAAGCACTTTGAATTGTTTCCTTTTTACGCCTGAAGGACACAGAAACTGCAAAGGGGGTATTGATTTTTGTAGCAGATACCATCCATCTCTCCTTTATTCCTTTGTGCTTTTGATGCATTGTTCCCTAATATAAGTTATCTGTCCAGCAGGTAGATGCCAGCCGGACTCCATAAGTTGCATGTGGTTCCTCTGAACTCTTCTACATTGCCAAGCACAAACCTGGTCTCCTTTCACGGAAGCTAGCTTTTGCCATGGATCTCCTCTGCCATTTTGAATTTGGGTTGTAGAAGGTGTTTGTACAATATACTGCATAAACGTCGGCACAACATTATCTCGTATTTCCTCTGGCCATTGGTTACTTGGATTCTCAAAAACATTATTTCCAAGGACCACCGTTTGGCAGTTGCTGAAAAGAGGAGGTGCAGAGTGTTCTAACTCCTGTCTGGTATTACTGGTTTGAATCAGCGTCTCAGTGGCCTCAAGAGAATGGGTGCCACTCTTTTTTTTTTCAGTTTATCTTGCAGGATGTTTCCCTGTTTCTCTGTTTCAGCATTACACACACGCAGCCCGCGTTTCCCAGTTTTAATGTTTGTACGTTTCGGGCAGCCTTGGGTGGTGCAATTATGTTTTCAATGAGGATGAAGGGAGCAAAATCGGATTGTCTTTATTTTAAAGTGGATTTCCCCCCCCCCTTTTTGGTTTTGAAATTGTAGCAGATTATCCCACTCTGCCATTCTTCTACAGTAAAAATGGTGCTTCAAAGTACACTGTGCTGTCTCTTTTGTTTTTCGTGTCCTTTCTCTTCTGGGGACGTAGCAGGAACTGAACCAGAAACAATGTGAGAATGATTGTTTCAGCTCAGAAATGCTAGCTTTATGCACGGGAAGCAAGGTAGCCATGTTTGGCTAATGCTTTCAGATATTTCATTCACATCTCTTGAACCTCTATCAAAATGCTTCACCAGCACCAGAAGTTAATTAACACTTGAGAGAGTATTTTACTTAACTGGATATTTTTTTTAATATTCTGAATCAAGCTGATGGTCTTCAGATTAAGTTGGATTGTAATTCCCAACATTTAAAGCCAGGAAGACCAATGGAAACACTAGGTACTCCCTTCCATACATCTAGAACAAGGGTGTCAAACTCCCAATGTCATGTGACATGTCTCGACGTATCGTGATTTTTTTCCCCATTGCCGTCATGGGTGGGCGCAGTTTTGGCGTGACGCATCCGGCCTGTGGGCTGGCAGTTTGACACTCCTGATCTAGAAGACCTCCAAGGTCCCTTCCAGCTTCTATTCTATTCTATTCTATTCTATTCTATTCTATTCTATTCTATTCTAACCATGAGAAGCAGCTGAGGATGATCAGCCTGGGAAAACATGGCATGGAGTGCACCTGTTTACTGGGGACAAGAGCTGTGTTGTGATGCAAGCGTCTCCTGTTTTACACATGCCTATGACATTGCAACACCTGTAGAAAAAAGGAGATCTAGGTTCCTCTGCCTGTTGTTCTCAGAATTACTGAAGCATTTGAGTTCTCCCATCACATCAAGGTGGTAATCCTTGGGAAGGTGGGTAATTTACGGGCTTCTAAATACATTTACTTCAACTTGCTAAAAACATTTACATTGGAGAAAAAAAGAACCCCCACTCTACATTCTAGTAGAGTCACTAATTAGAATAGGGGTGTCAAACTGCCGGCCCATGGGTCGGATGTGTCATGCCGAAACCATGCCCACCCCCAGCTTCGGCAATGGGGGGAAAGTGGTGATACGTCCTCACATGACGTGGCAAGTTTGATACCCCTGAATTAGAATGTATAGAGAACCCATCAAAGAGAAGGTTAAAAAAGGAATTTAACTTCTGCTTATTTTCTGCTTTCCCAGATATGCCATAAGGAAACGAGAGCCTTGCTCTTCATGTAGAGGAGGGGAATTCTGTCAAGTTACTTTGGTACTCCACTAGGTGACCTCCTAGCTCCTGTTCTACAAAAGACTTGGAACAGCTTTCCCTTCTGTTTCACCATTGTTTTGGATTGCAGTGTGTTTGCAGTCTTGTTCTCAGCTATCAGAATCCTTGTGGTATTTTAGACCTCTGTAAATTCACAACACTCTTTTGTCCCCTCCTGACACTTCTGACCAGACTGTTTTGGGTCTGCGTGAGAGTGCTAAAGCTTTACGCATCCTTAACGTTATGAATCATAAGAAGGTGGGAAGTTGTAATATGCCAGAGCCCACTTTTTGTCCATCTAGTACAGACATGTCAAACACAAGGCCCGGGGGCCAGATGCGGCCCGCAAAGTGGTTTCATGTGGCCTGCGAAGCCATCCTGGAAACAGTGAGGGAACGGCTCTCATTGCCTTGGCCCTGGCCCAGGCCGTCCGGGAGCCAATGTACAATTTTGTGGCCATCTGTGCTGAAACGCATTCAGTCTTAGCTCCACAAGGTGTCTGGAACCAGCAAGGAACCAGCCCCTGCCGTGTCAGCCCCGTCCCCTGGGTGCATGCTGGGGAGGTGTCACCCTTTGTGAGGAAGGAAGAAATGGACCACGCCTTGGCACTTGCCCCGGTCCCACCCTCTTCTGCCAGAGACCCTCAGATCTGTCCCACTCCTGCCCAGGCCCCCACAGGCACCCTTGACGCGAACGATGTAGAGCTGGCCATGCCCACCCAGTAGCCACACACACTCCAGCCACGCCTACCCAGTAGGCCACACACACTCCAGCCACACCCACCCAGTAGGCTGCACCCACCTTTGCCACACGCACCCCCCCCCGAGGGCAACTGCAATGCTGATACGGCCCTCTATGAAATTAAGTTTGACACCCCTGATCTAGTATTTCCTCTCTGGTCTGGCAACAGAGTTTTTCTCATTGTCTCTTTGTGAGCATTTTTATCGGAGATGTCGGAGTACATTTGGGGTCATCTGCCTTTGAGAAAACTGCATACCTTTTGACGTTCCACTTTGCATCCATCCAGCACAAGACATTCAGACCTTTCAGCTGAAGTGAGCAATTGACCACATGGGGATAAAAAAAAAAAAACAGCTATGGATATTCTAAGGAGAATGTTAACAGGCAGATGGCATTTTCATGCAAATTCACTATTTGAATATCAACAAAAAAAAATGCTTCAGAAGATTTTGTATGTTATGAATCTGACCTACACATATTCTTAGACACAATCTAGAAATGGGGGTGGAGGTGTTTTAAAACCACTTTTTGAAGCTCAAAGCTTTCAGCAAATATTAGCTGTCATCCTATATAGGTGGAAATGAACCATTTAGGACAATTGACAAGAACTCCAGAGACTACAGATAAATATGAGAAAAGAGAGGGAGGAGGAGGAGGAGGAGCAGCAGCAGCAAGTCATAAAGCATATCTTTAAGTTATATCAGTGTTTCTCAACCTTGACAATTTTAAGGCATGTGGACTTCAACTCCCAGAATTCCACAGCCAGCATTGCTGGCTGTGGAATTCTGGGAGTTGAAGTCCACATGCCTTAAAATTGTCAAGGTTGAGAAACACTGAGTTATCTGATTCTGACTACTCTCCCTTCTTGGCTAAATCACAGAAAAGCCATAATTCTCCAGAATGCCAAATTTAACAGAATTTGAATGTAGCAGACAAATTTTTCTTCGGCTTGTACTCCAACAAAGTTTGTTCACTTCCAAAGCAAACTCCACTACTAATATTCCTTGCTTCAATTAATTTAACTCCACAGAAGAACGTTAGTTGCATTTATGGAGACCCTTTTCCTATAAAAGTAGTGTTAAATAGAGGTTTTAGGGGGTATGCTGCATCTATTGGGCTATTTCTTAATTGTTCTCATATGCTTTTCAGGTAGTCTTTGACTTACAACAGCTTGTTTAGTGACCAAAGTTACAAGAACACTAAAGAAGTTTACTTATGATTGTTTTTCATACGACTGTTGCAGCATCCCGATGGTCATGTGATCAAACTTCAGATGCTTGGTAATTGGTTCGTATTTATGACGGTTGCAGTGTCCCAGGGTCATGTGGTCACATTTTAGAATGGAATGGAATGGAATAGAATAGAATAGAATAGAATAGAATAGAATAGAGCTGGAAGGGACCTTGGAGGTCTTCTAGTCCAGCTCCCTGCTCAAGCAGGAGAACCTATATCATCTCAGATAAGTGACTAACTGACTATCAGTCTTACTCAGTGATGGTGAACCTTTTAGAGACCGAGTGCCCAAACTGCAACCCAAAACCCATTTATGTATTGTCAGGTGCCAAGTGGGCATGGCCCATTGGGTGGGTGTGGCCAACTGGGTGAGCATGGCCAATTGGGTGGGCATGGTTGCCGTGGTAACGGCAGACTGGGTGGGACTAAAAAGTTCAATCAATCAATTCCAACTTTGCAAGATCTTTTTTTTTCCCCGCAAGAAATTGATTGAACCTTTTTTTTTTTTTGTACATGGTGGTGGAGGCCTAAAGCGAAAAGGTTTTATAAAACCCAGCTGAAGGCCTAGGACTGGGATGATGGTATACATGCCCACAGAGAGGGCTCTTTGTGCCACATGTGGCATGTGTTCCATAGGTTCGACACCACGGGTGTAGCCTCTTCTTAAAAATCTCCAGTGATGGAGTGCCCACAATTTCCACTGGTTAATTGTCCTTGCTGTCAGGAACTTTCTCCTTAATTCCAGGTTGCTTCTCTCTTTGATCAGTTTCCAACCATTGTTTCTTGTCCTGCCCTCTGGTACTTTGGAAAACAAATGGATCCCTTTTTTATGGCAGCCTCTCAAATACTGAAATACTGGTTTCATGACTTCCCTATTTCTTCTTTTCTTTAGACTAGCCAGACCCAAGTCCTGCAGCCGTTCTTCGTATGTTTTAGTCTCCAGGCCTTTGATCACCTTAGTTGCTCTTCTCTGAATTTTTTCCAAACTCTCTATATTTTTTTTTGTGACATGGTGACCAAAATTGGCTGCAGTATTCCAGGTATGGTTTTACTAGAGTTTTATAAAGCGATTACTAATACTTCATGTGATCTTGATTCTATGCCTCTCTTTATACAACCCAGGATTGTATTAGTTTTTTTGGCTGCTGCTGCACACTGCTGGCTCATAGTCAAGTGATCGTCCACTAGGACTCCAAGGTCCCTCTTACAGTTGCTGTTTTTAAGCTTGGGGTGTTGAATACTCTGCCAGTTTACTGTCATCTGCAAATTTGATGAGTTTCCCTTCAATTCCCTCATCTAAGCCATTTATGAAGATACTGAAGAGTACTGGGCCTAAGACAGAACCTTGTGGTACCCCACTGTTTACTTCTCTTCAAGTGGGTGTAGTGCCATTGAGGACTACTCGCTGAGTACGATTTGCCAGCCAGCTACAGATCCATCTGGTGGTGATATTATCTATTCCACCTTTTTCTAGCTTACCAAGGAGTAGGTTTTGTGACCTTCTGACAAGTAAAATCAATGTGGAAGCCAGATTCACTTAACAACTGTAGTGATTCACTTAAAAACTGCCAAGAAAGCTTGTAAAATGGAGCAGAACTCACTTAACAATTGTCTCACTTAGCAACAGAAATTTTGGGCTCAATTATGGTTGTAAATCAAGGACTACAGTACCTGTACTTTGTCTGAGCCAGGCACAGTTCTTCTTAAGAATTAATAATAGCTGGGCTCCAGGGTAGGCTCATGGTCAAGACCAGTAGTCAACCTTGGCTCTTTTATGATTCGTGGACTTCAACTCCCAGAATTCCTGAGCCAGCCATGCTGAGGGGAAAGGGAAAGGT